AAACACAGTCTCTTTTTTTTTTTTTTTTTTTAACTTTTTTCCCTTCTGTATTGACAGGGCAACATTTACAAGGGGAATTAATGGAATGACTGAGTAGTGTAATATAGCCATCCCCTTCCATTTCTAGTACTTTTGGGTTAAGATACACAATAGTCCAGATTTCTAACAGTCAATTAGAAGCAGCAATAGAAGTTCCCTATTTATTTTTAAATTCGTGTTTAACAATGCACAGAAGAAAAAACTTAAAATGCTTACTTCCCTACTTAAAACCAATTTTGTAAAAGCCTGGAGTAGGTATTTCCTTCACGTGGTATTACTGACGGTGTGAAGCAAAACCTGTTTTGAGTTAAAATATTGCATTCCAAACGAGACAAAGCAAAGAGCTTGTTTTAAGTGGTTTTCGTGTAATAATAATAAAAATACCTTGGCAAGAGGTGTAGCATGGGTAATGTATTAGCTTAAAGGAGGACAGAAAATGAGACTGATTAAAGATGGTTGTGACTGTCACTAAACAGCACTTCAGGGAGAATTACTGTTATAACTGCCTGGAAGAAATTTTGCTTCTTGAATAAAAAGCTACTCTTTAAGTCATTAAGTAGATTTCAGAGAGATGGTGTTAGACAAGCATGTACTTTTATTTTGGAAGGAAGGTAATCAGTACTTGGCAAAAGCATACAGAAATCATCCGAAATTGAAATGTTTATCTTTGAATTTCAGTTGCCTGATTAGGATCCATCAAGGATATTGCTGCTTTCAGTGGAAATGACTTTATGTGAAAGTGAAATTGATGGAGTCATGCAAGTTGTAAAGGACTACAGAAGTTTTCTAGTCCTAACACTTTAACAGAAGAAAATTTCTGTTCTTTGTAATACGAGACTTGTCACATCACTCAATAGTAGAAGTAGGAGGTCTCAAATATCAGAAAATAGCAGAAAAGAGGAGCCAGGGGATTGGTTTTCTTCATATTAGAAAAGTGTCCTGGGTAGAAAAATACCAGTGAAAATATGATCTTACTCCACCTTGACATCTAGTTTTTGTGTTGGTATTGCTAATGTAGGCTCTATAAGGACAAAGCCAGCTCCAGGAACTACTTGGATGTCAACATCTTTCCTTCTTTCCCCATAAATGCACAGTTTGATTTCAAGCTGGGATAAATGAGTTCAGGGATTTGATCACATAGCATAGTATTTTTCAGTTGACCAGTCTGACTGACAATCCACTGAAATATTCACTGTGGATTTCAAAATTTTGAAGTTGTTTTTAAGTAACGGCAGTGTGTGTGATTTTTTTTAAAAAAAGAAATATTTTAATCAATATCACAGCAGGCAAATTAATAATCCTCTGCACTATAATTCACCATGGAAAGTATCAGGCTCAGAGAGAGTATATGGAAGCAAGATGTTCTAATAGAAGTCTTCATTTAAAGCATTTGACATCAGCAAAATCCGTGCTCTATTAAAAAAATCCATCGTTTTCATCCAGAATCTCTTCAATCCCCTTCTCTTTATTTTCTTCTTCTTTCTTTCTTTCTTTCTGTGATATATTTTTATTGTTGGTAAAGCACACAGACAGAAACAGCACCCATTTTTCCCACCCATTGTCTGTGCATTTGTGCACTGGATCTTTCTTCTGCCATTTCTACCAAGAGCAGCAGTGAAAGCCTAGCTCAGATCAGGCGCTGCTACATGCTTTTTCAAGCTTAGCTACTGCTTGCCTATTCAAATAGTCAGAAGTCTGGCAGAGCAGAGCTGGCTTTATTTGTTGAGTCTTGTCTAGTGAAGTGAAAAGGGCTGATTTTATTTTTTTTTTCTTTTTTCTTTTTTTTTTTTCTGGCTGCATTTTTGCACATGTGGGGGTAGGGAATGAAATTATTTCTTTTGTCCTCTACTTGCAGCTCATTGAGAAGCAGGCATGCATATAAAATTACTGTATCTCAGGGTGTACCTTTAGGGACAGGAGGGAGAAAAAACAGATTTGTAAGCTTGTCTGGAAATACTGAGGATCCTGAGAGCTGACACAAAAGTGAGGGGTAACAGAATAATAAAACACAGTGAATATAGGACTAACAAAAACCTTTCAAAATAATATAACAACAGTTTAATTTTTGTCCCTTGTAAGAAATACCACATTACTAGATGTATCACAGGGGCAAAAAATTGTTGTGTTGCTGTGTCCAAGACACGATCATTAAAACACAGAAGTATAGGTTTGAAAAGTCACCATGAAAAATATATTATAAATATCCTCTGTTTTTTTTTCCTAAATATTTAATAATACCTGCAATTAAAGAGAAGTTATCTTGTGGGATGAACTTCAGTGATGGAGGGTGAAACACAATCCTGTTTCTCTCTAGGTTTACTTTGCACCCAAGTGGATTAATTAATACTAATATGCATATCAGCTCTCAGTGAGTTTTTGTGGGGTTTTTTTTTAACTATGTATTTTACCTAACTGTTCTGGACTCAGATGGTAAAGCTACAGTCTCCTTCGGTTCTCTAGCTCATGTTACTGTCTGTGAACTTTGTTTTGGGTAACATTAATGATTGATATGATTTGTAGTGGTTTTAACTACCAGCGAGTATGACCTTTATTATGGCTTTTTTTGTCATTTGAAGTGTAGGGTTCAGGCTGTCCAGTAACCTGAATGTACCTTCAGGGTAACTCTTGTATTCTGGTCTTTTGCCTGTTTATGGTATTTTGGTTAGAGAATGGTAAGGTGGGAAAGGAATTTTTTTTAGAATAGGCACTAGATACTAAAAAACAGTTTATTTGCAAAGCTAGTTTATATACTTTAAGTCATAAACAGGATTAATTAATGGAGTTTCTGGAATATATCATATTATTGGTATATAACAGTATGTTCTTGATTCCTAAACTAATGGTTTGTTGAGGTTGCAGACATTGAATGTTAGATGTGAATATGATTTAATCAGATAGTTTACTGAATGAACTTGAAAACAAATACAAAGAGTTTACTGAGATTAAAAGAATTCTAGTTTGGGAATCCATGGTTTCTAAAATATATTGCTCATGATGATTACTCTTCCATACTACATGTGCATAACCAGAGCTGTGAAATTAATAATTCACAGAAACTTATAAAATTTCTTCTTTGACCTCCAGCCTAGTAATCTATATTAAACTCTTAGGAAAAAATCTGGAAAAGTTTTAATTTAAATTAAAAGAGATTTGAGGGGTCTACAGAGACACAGGTGCTATTATACAGATTTCTATCTTGTATTTGAACACCCCCAACAGCTTTGGTTTATATACATGTAAAGTGTGTAGCTACATTTCCTATAAATTACATGAGAACAGAATTCAAATATTACTTTGAAACTTTCAGCAAACTGAGGAATCTGAACCTCTGAGATGAATTTGAAGTCGTCTGACTTCACTGTAGTGTCTTTCATGCAGCTTTTCCCTCCAGACTCTGTACTTAGCTGACCTAATTTTAAAAGGATTAAAAATGTTCATCCACTGTATAAACTGTTGTGGAGGGAAGAGTAGTGCTGGGGAGAAGCTATTAAAAGCTGAAAGTTGTGAAAGACAATGAAAGCAGAAGAGCTTGTTCTCATAATAGGATAATTTTCACTTGACTAGAAGGCATGGGTGCAAAAGCTGTCTGCTGGACATGGAGCCAGTAGGCACAGAAATTTGTGTTTTGGTTAACAGTGTATACTTCTAACAACTTAATCAATATTGAGTAGTGTTTTACTCACAGTCTGAGAGTAAAAACTAGCTGCCTTTAGGGATGGCAAAATCTGCCTTTCGATGTATTCAATTTGAAGAGGAGCGATGGCAAAATGTGGCCACCTCCAGTCGATGAAAATGTGTATACTGTCTAAAGCATATTATGGCTTATTGTCCTGATGGTTAGTATATGATTTTTTTCCCATATTTCCACAATTTATTAATATATTTATTGATTTTTTTTTTATTTAATTACCTTTAAGTCTTCATTTCTTGAAATGGAGGAACAGGATAAACTCAAACAATTGAAACCATGAAGCAAAAACTCACAGTTCAAGTCATGCACTTTCTGTTTCCTGATTGCTTAGTATAAGGTTAATAATGCTCATAACTACAAATTCATTGGTTCTCAAGTACTTCAGTTCTATGAAGAACACAAGATAGACTAGTCTCATAGAGCAAAAAGTCATTCAGGAAAAGATAATTGTTTCATTCCTTCTGTACCTGTTTTCTGGTGGTAGCATGGAGATTCCTTATTTTCATAAGTCTTTGGATATTACTTTATTCTAAAAACTTTGTATACTAAAACACATTAATATTTCTGGCTACAATGTGTATTAAAATAAATTTCATACTCCAAAGTATTTAAATGGTGTCCAAAGGTAAATATTATACTGTTAATAAATACCTAATAATTGGCAATAATATCCTCAACTTCAAAAAGCACAATCTGGTACTGCAAAATATACTGTAAAAAGTGATGTTTTCAATTAATAGACACGTTAAAAGGTTTCCAGAGATCTTTCACACACAGTGTATCTTTTGGTATTCAGAGTCTCTTCTGCTTTAAATTTCAGTAGAAGTGATCTTATTCATATAGAGAAAGATTTGATCTACTGAGTTACGTGGTTTTATTTGCAGATTGGTAGTATCAATCAACTGAGCTTTGGAGAAAGCTCTGTTCCATTTCTAAAGTAAAAAAAATCTGCACAAAGTTTTGATGAAGTACTTTGGAGAAAGGTGGGGAAAATAAGTATTTTACATTCAGTTTTAAACTGCATATGCAGTAAAACTGATTTCATAATGAACAAATAAATGTATTTTTTCCTGTTTCAATATTTCAGAAATATTATGCAGCTTTATACTGTTTGTGATGAGTGTAAAAAACAAAGTCTGTTTCTTGAATTGTTTCAAAATTAGCAAGAATATTAATCAATCAGATACAAAGTTAATTAAAAATTATTATCTTCTTTATAATTAAAATACTTAAGTAATCTCAAGTATTTAATATTTTTTCTTACCTTCAGAACCAACATATATCACAATCGGTCCACCCACCTGTGAGATTTTGGTGAACTGCACTTTGACTGAAAAAGACTGTATATATAGCTTCAAACTGGACCAAAATGGTTGCCGCATTTGTCAGTGCAAAACTAGTGAGTATGCAGAAATACGGTTGCTTCTACCTTTTATACCAAGCTGTATGTGAAAATGCTAGAATGATGTTTTCTCCATTCAGAATATTGATTATATGTTGTGTTAGTATGTGTGTGCTTTATATTGTTCATGTTTAAAGGAGAGACTCCTGATTTATGACATTGCTTGTTTGCTTGCCTAAAATGTGTTTTGAGGAAAACATAAAATGGCTAACTTAATAGCAAGGTAGAAAAAGTAGTAACTTGGGACTTAGTAGAGAAGTTTGATAAGACTCCCACATTCCATTTTCCTCTGTGTATGTAAAGCATTTAAGAGCATCTAGGTTTATGCACCTCAAAAACTCCTGTTGCTGGATAGCCTATTTTCAGCTTAGCTTTTTTTCCCTCAAAACTTAGGCTTTGAGGATAAATGTTTGAAAACTATATGTCTGGGTGCTGTTTGTATATATCCATATATAATTTTATTTCTATAACATATTCTTATATAAAAAAAATACTTTAGTTAGGATTTATGCAACTTTTAACATCTGTTTCTTCCCTATGGAAAATCATTGTGCCTTGTGAGAACTTTGTGTGTATCAGTGAAGCAACAAAAATGTATTTTCTGTATTTCTTAAGAATTTGATGTTTACAGATGAAATATAAAGCATTTTGTAGCAAAGGGCACTTGTGGAGTACTACTTTTGGCTGCAGGATGCATCACTCTGGCTCCCAGACCAGCCTAGGTTTAAACTCTCTTTGCAGTTTTATTGTAGTTCTGCAGCTTCCTTTTGTGGTCTCTGAGGCTTTCACAACTAAAGGATTACTCCATTCCTCTTCTTTTCATTTCAGTCTACTTGTGATGAGCTGCTTTCTAAACCAGTATGACTATTTTAGGTGTCCCCAGTAGAAATCATCAAAATAAAACTCTTAATTCATACAAACTAAAGAGCTTTAGGATTGGATTGGTGTCTTGCTTAAGAAACAAGTAAAGGTCTGGGACAGGACATCTTAATAACAAGTAAATTAATGGCAAGTAATGTCATTGGGGTAATACAGAAATAATACCTTTGATCACAAGTTGTGTATGTGACAAGGGCGACTTTCCATATTGCATCCAAGCTGTCACATACATGTCTTACTTATTTCTTCCTAGGGAAAAATTAAAAATGTTAAGTTCTGCTTTTAACATTGTAATTTGATTATTCTTTTTTTTATTGTTAAATTGTTTGGCAAGTTTGACAAACAAGAAGATGGACGTACTCAGCAAATTTCATCATCTATTCCTGTGCGTGCAGTCCTTCCATCCAGTTTGGTGCACAGGAGACCCATCACTCCAAAGGATCAGTTCTTTTGTCCTAGATTACCAGATTGCATGTGTACACATACCACATCCCAGGAAGTCTCTGTTCTTGCTTGGAGTGTTTCTGATTAAATAGCGCTTAAGAACCTATTCAAAGGACTTTTTCTTTTGTCGGATTTGCTTGAAATTATTTTCATTTTGCAGTAGCAAACTATCTGGAACAAGCTTAATAGTATCATTTGTCTGTAATCTTTTTTCAGTTAAATAACTTGAATTGTAGATTACTTAAAAATCTCAGTCATTCAGAGAGGAGAAACCTTTATTTTCTAAAGAAGTGAAGAAAAATAACACCTTGGAAGTCTTCGTCACTTGGTGGTTATCAGTCAAAATGACAGAAATAGATTTTTTCCGTCAGGTAATGTCTCTTGCTTGCAAGGCTCTGGACAAATGATTGTGTGAGCACTGAGAAGAAAAAAATTTGTGTCAAATATGCTGCAAATGTACTGCGCTAGTTCTGTGCATTTTGAGATCCTATGTAGTTCCATATCCAAACCAGTTTAGTTGCATCTTGGCTCCCTAAGAACCTGATAGGGTGTATTATCTTCAGGTCATGTAGACTTGTGTGGCCTTTTGGGAACATCACTGTCTTTTTATACTGCACCCACTTGTCTCTTGCTGGTCTAAGCTGCTCAACTCAGTTAGATTTAAAATGCCTGAGGAAAGGAGGCCCACATGCCTCTCATTACCATTTGAAGTCATCATATTCTAAATCTACTAATCTCTTTCCAATAAAGTTTCCTTTTTTTCTAATTTCTCTTTAGATGTCTCTGCTAAAGATTCATAAAACTTCAATCGATTTCAGCCAACATAAAAGCAAAATGGCAAAGTGAAAGAACATAGAGTAAAGCTGTACATTGTTCCTCATTATTACCTTCATTTACATTCCTGTAGCCAGAAATCAGTACAACATGTTTATTTAAAATAATTATCTAAATACGAGATCATGAAACTTGTTTGGTGCTTTATTAATTTAGTTTCAAGTTTATCCAGCTTGACTCTAGATTCTAGATTGATTCTAGAATATGATTTTAATAGAAGTAGGTTACTTTGTCCTTTATCCTTCTTCCTGGTTTTGCAGTGAACACAAAAGCATGCTGTAACACACAGTGAAAACATACATGCTATGAAGTAAAATAAAATTTAAAAAAAAGAAATGGACCACAGTTGTAAGAGAAGGGAGGAAAAAACCTACCACCGAGGAAAGAGTGAGCACAGAAATATATGGGGGAAAGTTCCAGTGAGTAGAGATGAAACCAAAAACAGCACTACATGAGGATAAAAGGAAAAAAGTATAATCCAGGATATAGAAAGAACCACTGCAAAATACCAAGAATAAAACTACAACAGTAGGAAAACATGAAATGCATTACTAAAAAAAAAATAAAATATATAAGATGATACAAGAAGAAGAAAAAAAAAAAGCAAAAAATTGTTACTTGTAGGTGCAGCAATTGCTATTGTGTTTGGACTATCTAGGCCTTTGCTTTCATAGGGAGAACTGGAGTGGATTAAAGTATTTTGGAGGAGTGCATTAAGGGAATGAAACAAGACTAGTGATCAGCTCTTTGTGAGGCAGGACTCCTCTTGATCCAAAGAAGACTGACACATTGAAAATGCCTGCTGGTTGCAGTAGCATAGGATTTAAAATCTAATAGTTGGTGCTGGACACTAAATCATTCTTCATTGAGAGTCTGCAGTGGGGGCCAGTATTTTATCTGACCTTGTCTATTCCCTGAATTGTATTCATGAAAAAGAAAAAGCCTTTAAAATCTCTCCTGCAGCTTAGACATTTTTTACCCCAGATGAACTAAATGTGACATACTATTCAGGGTATAATTGCAAGCATGTATGGCTTCAGTATTTTTTTAACCTTTCAAATTGTACTAAAATTGAATTAAATTAGAGCACTGCTGTTAATTTTTAAAATTGTTTGCTTCATTTATAAGGCTTACCTTTGCAGTTACAAGATGCAACTGTTATTCAGTTTCGTTAATTCCAGACTTCTTACGGACAGACAGTTGTAGAAGACTGCAATGAGTCGTTTTCCCTGAACATCACAGTGAATCATCATCCACTTAGTGTCATGGTCTCTTTTGTCTGTCAAAGCAAACAATGAAATCACCATTCAAAAATTAGAAATCTTGGTATATGTTTGCACAGTTCTCTAGACATAAAAACCCCCCAACCAACCAAACAAACAAAAAAAACTTTTCCCCAAACACATTATGTGTAGATGCAGGAATATTTTTTGAAGAGTATTGATACCTTTTCCTTAAATGAGAAGAAAATGTATTCTATCATGGTGTTAAAAAGGAGGTACTATCATTCACTCTATACTAGCAGATGTCTGCAGCATGGACCTCAGTATTCTGGCGAGTCACACGATCTCCCTTTATAGCTGATGAAGCAGAGTGGAATTCCCTTGTGGAATCTGGGTTTGGCAGTGTGGGACTCATTTTAGTTGTGTAGACATTCAAAGGTAGGATTGGAAGGTTTGAGAAAAGTTAGGTAGGTACATCACAGCCTGTCTATAAATAGCAGTGATTAAGGCTCTGAAAAAGTGTATAGAGTGATGATGGGAAAAAACTTCAGAAAAACTTTGCAGGGATTCCAATGGGAGATACATCTCAACTCTTCTGTGTGTCAGTCATTCGTTAATTCCAGTTTGAGGTGGGTTTTCCTAACCTCCCTAGCCAAAGTTTGACTATTTCCTTTATTCCTGTAAATACTTCATCCTCAGAGATGTGTTCTGAACACTTTGGAACTCCCCCAGTGTTAATTTTGTCTATTTGAATAAACATATTTTATGGTTTATTTTTATATCAAACTAAAGTGGGACAAATAATCACACACCCTAATCATGCAAATTGTATACTTCAGACAATACAAAATTCCTGGAAGTAGTAAACTTTTTGGAAAAAAAAATTCCATGGGGAAAAAAAATAATATAGAAACAAAGACAGTCCAGATAGTCTCCCTTAGTGCAAGGAGAGCACATCTTGGATTTTTGAATCATTTGTAGACCTGGCAGAAAAAAGGATGATTTATTATTCTTATGCAGTGATGTGAAAGGGAATAGCTATTATCTTAGACCTCAGTTAGAGAAATACAGCCATGCAAAATTGTGAATGAAGCACGTTTCTTAAAAATCTAAGGCTTAGATCAGAAAAAAAGTATGTATTCTAGTTAGAATAAAAATATTAACTCTGAGTACACATGTGGAGGATAGGGGAAGTGCTCCCTGAAGAGGGTGAAATTATGATGAACTACTCATGCCAAATAAATATTATCTGTCTTCTCACTAGAAAAAGTCTTTGGTGGGGAACTCTGAAGATTACAAAAATATATTGGTTTTAGTAATGCTTACAGTATATCTAATGCAATAGAAGCTGATAAGAACTTTACTTGAATTGGGGGGGGGGGGGGGGGGAAGTATGGAAGCTTGATCATTTTCCAATACTTCCACATTTTGAGATATCATTGCTACAAATCCATTTTCATGAAGTCATGTGTTGTATGTGAATCCTTTAGTTTAGAGCAAGTATCCAAGTGGGTAATTTGCCTCGATGGACTCATAAGATTATTTTTTTAAACAGGGTTTTCTAGCATCACAGTGCCCAGTCCCTTCATTTTTATCCAGCTGTTGTGAATCGTGAGT